TTAGCCATTTTACGAATGGGTTTTTAGGGGTATTTTTTCTATTGATTTCTTCTAGGATAAAAGTGAGCTTTTAAATATATTTTATAAATCAGTCCCTTATTCAATATTTGCTTTGCAAATTATCCAATTCTATAGATTTTTTAAATTTTACAATGCTGATTTTTTTTTCTGTACAGCTTTTTAGTGTGATGTAGTTATACTTGTCTGATTTTGCTTTTGTTGCCTGTGCTTTTGGTGTCATATCTATGAAATGATTCCCAAGACTACCATTGTGTAACTTTGCCCCTATGCTTTCTTCTGGAAGTTTTGAGGGTTTAGTTTGTATATTTAAGCCTTTAATCCATTTCAAATTGATTTTTGTGTATGGTATAAGGCAATGCTCCAAGTTTAGTCTTTTGCATGTGCCCAGTTTTCTCAACACCATTTGTTGAAGAAACTCTCTTCCCCATTGTGTATACTTGACGCTCCTGACCAGTTCACAACATATGCATTTATTTCTGGGCTCTTTACTATTCCATTGTTCCACATGCCTATCTTTATGCCAGAACCATATTGTGCCTTTGTAATATACTTTAAAATAAGGAAGTGCAGTGCTGCCAGCTTTGTTCTTCTTTCTCAAGATTGATTTGACTATTTGGGGTCATTTGTGGTTTCACATGAATTTTAGAATTGTTTTTCTATTTCTGTAAAAAAAAAATGCTATTGGGATTTTGATAGGGATAGCATTTTGAATATGTAGATTACTATGTGTTGTATGGACATGTTAATGATATTAAGTCTTTCAATCCATAAACACAAAATGTCTTCCCACATGTTCCTGTCTTCTTTAATTTTTTCATCAGTGTTTTGTAGTTTTTAGTGTATGTCTTTCATCTCCTTAGTTAAATTTAATCCAAAGTATTGTTTTGTGCTATTGTAAATTGGATTGTTTTTCTAAATTTCTTTTCAGTAGTTCATTCTTAGTGTTTAGAAATCCCAATAATTTTTAAATTGATTTTGTATCCTGCCACTTTACTGAATTCATTTGTTTTAACAGGCTTTGGTGAAGTCTTTAGTGTTCGATTTTAAGAATCCATCCAGCCACTCCCTGTGATCGAGGAGCTGAGTCCCTGTATATCTAAAGTGATTATCAGTGGCAAAAGATTCACTCTTACCATTTTGTTAATAGTTTCATTTCTCTTGTAGTTCTTTTCCCATCTTTTCCCCTTGCTGTTTTCCTTTGAATTTTATTAATTTTTTTGTATTGCTATGCTTGGATTTTCTTCCCTTTTTCTTTTGTGTAATTTCTACAGGTATTTTTTTGGTTACCATGGGACTTATATTAAATATCAATAGTTATGTTTATTTTAAGCTGATAACAACTTAAGTTAAATTCCATACAAGAATTACACTTTTATCCCCGACACACATATTTTATGTTATTGACGTTGCAATTTACATCTATTTATGCTGTGTACCATTAACATATTTTTAAATTACATTTATTTATAATACTTTTAAAACTTTTCTTCTAAGATAAAAGTGACTTATGCAACAGTTACAATTATAGAGTATTCTGTATTTGTGTATAAATTTATATTTACCAATGACTTTTATACTGGCAAGAGGATGTCTTGATCTCCCTATCAGTTTCTATGTATCTGATTTTGCATTCACACAAGGAACAGAAGACTTTTAACCAATTTCTAAATTCTCAGAGGAGAAATTTGTACATGAATTATTGTTGATTGGGTTTCTTAATGAGGAGAGGAAAGGATGGTCCAGGACGTTTTTTTATTTTGACATCTTTTTGACTAGCCATCTTTACTTTCTTCTTTTCCTTTCTAAGTCATATTCACTGAAAAATGTAATACTTTTATATCATCAGCAAAGCAGTAGTAAGACCAGTGTCATCTATTATTGTAACTTTTAAGTTTAATGTATACAATCCAAAAAGAGCTGCCAACCTGGTATTCATTCTCTTCTTTAATGACATCCTAATTTTGTTTGCAGCAACAAAGGGCTCAGAAAAAAACAAGAAAACAAGACTGCATTCACTTGGTATCCTTCAAACGGTAAAGAACAATGAGAGGCTGGGCGCGGTGGCTCAAGCCTGTAATCCCAGCACTTTGGGAGGCCGAGGCGGGTGGATCACGAGGTCAAGAGATCGAGACCATCCTGGTCAACATGGTGAAACCCCGTCTCTACTAAAAATACAAAAAATTAGCTGGGCATGGTGGCGCGTGCCTGTAATCCCAGCTACTCAGGAGGCTGAGGCAGGAGAATTGCCTGAACCCAGGAGGCGGAGGTTGCGGTGAGCCGAGATCGCGCCATTGCACTCCAGCCTGGGTAACAAAAATGAAACTAAGACTCAAAAACAAAATAAAAAAAAAAAAAAAAAAGAACAATGAGAACACACGAACACAGGGAGGAGAGCATCACACACTGGGGTCTGCTGGGGGGGACAAGGGGAGTGACAGCGGGGGATAGGGAGGTTGCGGAGGGATAACAGGGGGAGAAACGCCAGATATAGGTGACAGGTGGATGGAGACAGCAAACCACATTGCCATGTATGTACCCATGCAACAATCCTGCACATATACCGCAGAACCTAAAGTACAATGATATATATATATATGAAAGAAAAAAGAAAAGACCAAGTTTTGCAATGGCCAAGTAAATACAAGTAGAGGGTAGCTGACAGAGCTTTCTGAAAAGCTCCTTTAAAGGAGGTGGACTCAGCAGGTTCATATCCTTTTACTTTTCACCATCTCCTTTACTCCTATCTGTTGTGAGTATGAAAGCTGGTAATGGAGCAGCCATTAGGACCATTAATGTAAAGCCAAGAGAGTCACAGAATCCTGGACTCAGATATTTTTCAGCAGCAGGACCAGTGCCTCCAACTATCTGCCTTTGGATATGTCATGTGTGATTGGACTCTAAACCCTCAATTTGTTTATGTTTACAGGCAGTCAGGCAGACAAATTCGATCCGCAACAGTTACATGGCTATAAGGAAAAATAAATACATAAATAAAAAGGAGGTAAAATATCTCCTTTTAGGGGGTGGTTTATAAGAGATGATGATTTTTCAAAACTATTTTAAAGGCTGCTTCCTGAACTTTTAGTTGGAGGTTGGCAAGATTTCATTTTCCCATTATCCCTTCAGTCATGAGAGAAGTAGTAGTAATTTCATTCTCTTCTTTTTCTCTGATCTCTAACAAAGATGGTCTTCCCTGGGAAAGCTGTTTCTCTATCTCTTACTCATAAGTAATTGAAAGGTCATGTCTCCTTGTTCTTTCTTTGTTCCTTTCTCTAATATCAACATCCCATTACTTTCCTTCTTTTCTGGCTTTCCCCTTTGCTTTTCCCCCCTCATCTTATCTTTTCCCCATCTGTCATTTCCTTTTTCTTTAATCTGTATTTTTATTCAATGCATTTTAAAATACATATTGTAACTGCTAAAAAATTAGCTATTATTTATTATTTCTCTCAACATCCCAAATGCCTGAGTTACTGAAATCTTGCAAAATACAAAAAAGAGGCATTTTAGCAGTTTAACAGATAAACACAATGACTAAGGACTAAGATATATATATATATATATATATCTCCCTTGTGTATATCACATAGCTGTTGTGTGTGTGTGTGTATAGCCCTTGTGTGTGTGTGATATTGGTCAGCACTTGTTACAAAATGGCAAAATCACATATTATTGGCAAAAAAGAAAAAATTTTTTAAAAACCATCTTGGTACATGGGGTCACGCAGCAGGTGACAGAGCTGGAATTGAAGCCTATGCTATATGACTGATCCCAATGATTTTCATAGCATGATATGACACTTACTGATATAAAATACTAATGTGTGCTCATATGTATGAATTTAAAAATTTTGTTCTAAGTTGGGCATGGTGGCTTATTCCTGTAATCCTAGCACTTTGGGAGGCTGAGGCTGGCAGATCCCCTGAGGTCAGGACTTCAAGACCAGCCTGGCCAACATGGGGAAACCCTGTCTCTACGAAAAATATAAAAAGTAGCTGGGGGTGGCAGTGCATGCCTGTAGTTTCAGCTACTTGAGAGGCTGAGGAAGGTGAATTGCTTGAAGCTGGGAAGAGGAGGTTGCCGTAAGCCAAAATTGGGCCACTGCACTCCAGCTTGGGTGACTGAGTGAGATTCTGTCTCAAAAATAAAATACATATAAATAAAAATAAAAATTTTATTCCATACCAAATTTAAAGCAAAATTTTCTCTCTCTACACCTCAATTAGACATGATGCAAACCCTTGAAAGAGTTTAACTAAAATTATTCATCTAATTCTTTAGTGATCTTGATATTGGAGATTTTTCCTGTAATATCCACCTTCAGGTCTCTCCTAATTTGAAAGTAAAGTAAATGAAAATTGAAATAGCCACTCACCATCTTTACAATGATTTGTGTAATAAATGGATCATGCCATAGTGCAGTTTCTTTAGGTAAATCTGGTGGGGAAATAAGAGTGCCTGCAAATTATTTTATTACTTGTTTGTAACTTCAAAATCCTCTACCAGGTTTTAAAGATAATTTATGGTTTATTAACTTAGGATCATTTTATGAGAGCAAATGTGGCTTTCCTGACATAAAAATGCTACACAGTAACTAAATGAACATAAAATTGGTGCCTCACCCAAAGAAACTTGGTTCTGAAAGCCTTGCATTTCGAAGGGAAAATGGGCAAGAAAGTAAATTGAACTGACAAGGTGATATAAACTGTAGATGGAAGTCTGTTACTTCATTAACTTAGCAAAATATTTTAACTCCTCACAATACCTGTAATAGGGGCAGCGTGAGCTGCTTGGCTTCTTCACTTCAAAAGTTATTTTCCAGCATATTTCTGGAAACAGCTTAGCACTACCAAGTCATCCTGTTGTGACACCTTGAAGTAGGTAAAAGCAAGCTGTGAAAATGGCAAGAGTGGACATTGAGAATATTTTACTGATTCAGTTAAATATGGAAAGAAAAGCAGACAGAAACAGCAATACTCCCCAGTCCTGTCTGTGTGGCAGACTGTCACTCTCCTCCAAGTCAGCTTCCACATGTTCTGCATTTCCCGGAGGTCTCTTTGTCACATTCCTCCCTGTTATCACCACCCAATCCCTTATTTTAAAAGGAGCACAAAAAGGGACCACATCATCATACAAATTGTCATTGTCAAGAGGAAACACAAAATTCTAAAGTCTTTTCATTCAGCAAAGGCACATATCAGGATGTAGGAGCCATGAAAAATCATAGTGAACTTGGGTGGATCACTCACTCTGTGTCAAGCACAGGTGTAAGCTTTTTATACCCAGTGTCTGTTTTATGCTGTGCAACAACACCAGTACCCTCCTTTAATGGCCTGAGTCAACAAGGGCAGAGAAAAGTTAAGTAAGTTACTCGGGGTCACACAGCAGGTGACAGAGCTGGAATTAGAGCCTATGCTATATGACTCCAGAAGTCTCTCCTAATAATGGCCATGCTACTTAAAATAAAATAAAATAAAATAAAGTTTGAACTATGGCTTCCTAAATGCTGACCTGGAAATTTAGCCTGTCACATGCCCATTTGTTCAGGTCCTCCTCCTCGGTCTTGTTAATTCCAGCCCCTAACACTGCAAGGCTGAGAGTTCCTTTAAATGAAAGGGCACATAGATTTCTAAGCAGCTGGAAAGGCCTGAGGTTTCTGCTTGATATTTTTAGAAGCGTATTCCTTATAAAGTATAAAGCTGATCCTTTCTCAGTCCTACAGGACAATTAGAACTTGTCAGCTGAAGACACGGTGCATTATTCTCTCCTTTAACCCTGTCCTATTTGTGTTTCCTTATCACAGTTCACAGGCAGCTACTGATCTGATTATTAAACAGACGCTTCACCCTGCTGCTCGTTCCTGCCAGTGCAGGAGCTCTATCTGTTTGGACCGGTTCAGCCCAATCTCTTTTGGGGTGACTCGGGTGATGTGATGTTAAGCTTCCCAGGGCCATTGTGTTCTGTATTCTGCCTCTGACTTCTTCCCTGCTACCCACGTGAGCTTCCACCATGCTGTCTTCTTTCCTGTCCAGAAATCGTGTAGTAAGATGCTTTTTGGCTTGAGACCCTGAAAGCAGTCTGAAGCTGCAGCTCTTTCCTTCCGGTGCCCTACAGGCATTCAGGTCCATTTGGGCAAAATGAAAATTTGCAGAAACAAAACTCTCTGGCTTTCATAGTCCTTGGTGGTCTCTAGATTTGTCAGAGGCTTCCAAAATCACTCTGGAGGGGAGAAAGAGAAGCAAGAGCAAAATTAAATAAAATCACTATGCTTCCTCTCCCACTGATTGCCTCATCAAATCTAGAAAGTGCTTTAGCAATCTACCCAATTAAGCCATAGAGACTTAGTAGCATATTCTACCGTACTACAAAGAATTCAGTTTAGTTTATTATTTTTGGGTCGTTTCTTTTAACTAAGCAGGCTGCTAAGTTCCATCAAATATAAAAACAACAGGGTAATTCAGTCAAGCATCTGACTGGCCTATTGCTTTTAGCCAATTGGCCTATTATGAGGGAATTATAAAATCTATTATTTGAATATTGTTTGACTGAACCTGGGCACCAGGTTGCGAATGGTTTCACTTCAGATTGATTCTGGGTGAAATAGCCCAAATAACAAGCTATGAGATTAATTAGGAAGTATATTTTTACTATACTCTTAAAGCTCAGCCTGGAGCTGCAGGTCTCTTGAGAGCCCAGCATGGCTTTGTGAGGCAGGAGGAGGGAACCCACTGTTTCCCTGAAAGCACCCACATATTAGACTTGGAAGTCCCCCTAATTTGTTGCTGTCCTTTGTGGAGTACGAAATTGATAGGGGAGATGCCTTATTGAGATATAGTTTTTGGCCCAAAACTTTTTTTTTTTTTTGAGATAGATTCTCACTCTGTCGCCCAGGCTGGAGTGCAGTGGCGCAATCTCAGCTCGCTGCCACCTCCGCCTCCCGGAGTCAAGCGATTCTCCTGCCTTAGCCTCCAGAGTAGCTGGGACTACAGGCATGTGCCACCACGTCCAGCAAATTTTTTGTATTTTTTAGTAGAGATGGAGTTTCACCATGTTGGCCAGAATGGTCTCGATCTCCTGACCTTGTGATCCGCCTGTCTCGGCCTCCCAAAGTGCTGGGATTACAGAGATGGGCCATCATGCCCGGCCACTTAAAACATATTTTTCACCTATTTGGAATTTAAATTGGTTGCCACCCTTCAAGCTGAAGACCAGAACAGTTAGCGAGTGGTTAGTGATAATCCCACTAAGGGTTTCGATGGGGTCAGGCGTCACACTGAAGGTGACCATCCATGTCTATTTCAAACACAAAACCTGTTACTAAAAGAGATGAGCTTTTGACCCCTGGATGATCTCATTTGTATGCCATGTCTTCACAGGAGCAATGAGTACAAGCCCCATGCTCTGTAATATTTTTTAAATGATGCAAAGACTGAAAAGTGCATTTTTTCTTCCTCAAAAGAATAGGCATGAATATGAAGGAGATTATTTAGGAAATGCATACATTCTAAGGAAAGAGCTATCCAACTGAGAAGCTGGGATTACATAAAGTGAATATCTGTTTCATGTCTATAAGTTTACATATTCGAATAACTCAGAAACCATGAAATTTGCTTCAATGAAAAGTTGCAAGATGCATTTATACTTGGGCAATGAAATGGTATGTCTTCAGGAAAGCTTGTGAGCTGCAGATTCTGAATACAAGACTATAAGAGTGTGTCGTAGTAAGGTACCTGTCACTAAATGCTCCTAAAAGTATTGATATTAGGTTGAATCTGAACATTTGGTCTTGTATAAAGTATCAAATGCCATATTTGTTGGCTAGCCCCATAATACAGGACATGGAATAAAAGAGGGAGGACTCAGGCTAAAGCTGCTGAGGAAAAGCTACTGGCGTATGCAGGAAGCGTTTTGCTGTCCATGTACCTGGGACAAGAAGCCTGTTTTGTTTTGTTGTCTGCACTTGATTTTAAAATACCTCAGGCCAATACATGTGTGTGTTACTCTAAATCTATAACTTAGCAACAGTTAGTGAACTTTTCAAATTCCATGACTGAGAATATACCAGCCTACAACCCTGTGAGTCTGCAGGTCAGAGGCGTTAGTTGTCTTAATCTCCGAACAGAATCATTCTTTAAAAATGAACATACTGGATGAGAAAGTAGCTTTTCATCATTGAACTGAGTGCTGTTTCAGATGACTGCTGAGGAGAGTTATTGTTTCTGGCAACATATCCAACTCCAACGCCTTTGTAAGAATAGAGAATAAGAATTAGAATCAGCAAACCCAATAGGCTCAATCTTACAGAACACTCTTTCAGGCTTAGACTTCTGAAATTAAACCTGTATTTATTTTACCACTGTATTAGTCATGTTCCTCCAGAGAAACAGAATCAATAGCATATGTGTTTGTGTGTGTTGAGAGAAAGAAAAAGAGAGGGGGGCGGGGAAGAGAGAGAGTTGCCCTAAGGAATTGACTCATACAATTACAGAGATGGCAAATCCCAAAATCTATAATCAGCAGGCTTGAGATCCAGGAAGAGCTGATGCTTTGATGTTTCTGTTCAAGTCTCAAGACAGGACAACCAATATTCCAGTCCAAAAGCAGTCAGGTAGGAAGATTTACCTCTTATTCAAGGGAAGGTCAGCTTTTGTTATATTCAGGCCTTCAGCTGAATGGATGAGGTCCACCTACATTCAGGGATACAATCTCCTTTACTCAGTCTATTGATGTAAATATTAAACACACCCAAAACCACCATCACAGAAACATCCAGAATAATGTTTGATCAAATATCATTGTACTGCATTGCCCAGTCAAGTTGACCTATTAAATTAACTCTCACAACCATCTAGCAAAGTTATTTGGTAAGTGCTCCAACTATAATATCAGGTGAATACTGCCTCTAGAATGACGTCACATCTGTCTCTAATGATGTGAGGTGGTGTTGGAACATAGACGTGGACAGATGCCTAGAATCTCCTCAAGATTACTGAAAATGTTTTATGATGACTTTTATGCATGCTTGTTAATAGATGTTGATGTCCAGAACTTGCTTTCATTATAACCCGCTCTCTGGTTGTGAGACTGTATGAGAGAATACCTATTTCTCAGCTATTTCTAAACTACTGGACACTGCCCAGTGACAACCAAAAAGAATCTCATACTTGTAAATGGCCACATTACATTGGCTTAGGCCAGATTGCAGCACATTTTCTATAAAGCCTCTGGGCAGAAAATATTTTTTTCCATAAAGAGGTTTTGAAATGCCCTTCCTAGCTCAACAGCACCCAGGATAATACAAATCTCACAGAGCAAATGCAGGTGACAGAGAGCACAGCCCCAGGCCTTGGGTGGAGAGTAAAAGCTTGCAGGATCTCACAGCTATTTTTGATAATATACAAAACAGAAAGCTAGCATTGAGCAGAGGTGAGGGGAGTAAAATACAGCTTCTGTGGAAAACGGTTGCTACAGGCTGTCTCAGGAGCAAAGAAAGAAACAAAATAAGACTTTGGAACCAAAAGAAAGAAGCAGACATCAGAGCACACCCCAACAGAGAACCCAGAGATCAACACTAGCCCCTTATCACATTGCTCAAAGATTATCATCAGCTCAACAGTAATCAGAGCTGCAAATAAATATCAAAAGGTATTGAATTCCTTTAGAATTTGTTATATGGGTGTAAATTAAATGTTATATCATTTTTATTGTCTTTCTTTTGTCTTCCTCTGTATTCCCAAATTAAAATGCCCTACATGTTTTGTGATGGGATGAATGAAAACCATCTTATAAAGTTAGAGCCAAGATTCTGGTGCCCAGAGTGGACTAGATAGATAAGCAGCTGCATGCCCTGATGAATATGTAGTAGAATATGTAATTGAATATAGATCTAATGAGACTTAATTCTCCTCTTTTATATATCACCAAAGTGAAAAACAATAACCAATAAACACAATCAATGACTATTCCAAAGGAATGTGTATTTCACTCAAGGCTGTACTTTTTAAACTTCTGGAAGCAAATTTGCTTCTGAAATATTTTATATTTACCATTTAATGTGAAGTCTCTTTGCTTTGGCTGAGGACTCCCAAACAGGATTGAAAAGCAAAGGAAATTGTAGAACTGCTTTATCTGTTGCCCTCGCAACTGGCTATATAATGCAATCTATGTTTTGAGACTTAAGGGAGGTGCTTTTGGAAGATACAGTAAATCTAATCAACCTTGCAGTATTTACTCTAGGAAATTACTACATCGATGTCTAAAATTGCATTCAAATGAAGAATAGTAGGTAGCTTCCTTCCTACAATAGTCTTTTGTGCACTCGATGTCTCTTGTATAATCTATATGCAGCCTTCTCCTCATTCTTCATATCTTATCTCCTCAGGACAGTGGGGATTAATTTGGATTATTAATGTCTCCTTTTCAGGGATATTTTTCCCCCTGAGGCTATTTTGTATTCCACTATGGGCTCATAAAGCTAATCTAAACATAGGGCACCACTGACATTAAAGGAAAAATTTGTTCAGAAAACATCCCCATGAGACTTGAAAAAAAAAAAAAATCAACCTTCCAGGCAGATTCACAGAGTGATTTTAGAATGAACATTTTCATTTAATGAAAAAAACCAAGACAGCTTTGATTTTAGGTATCACTTTTTTCCCATAAGTTCGGGATACTAAAGATAAACATGCTTATATTCACGGAATTTGCTCCAGATTCTGATAAATAATGTGCATATCTCTGTATATTGAGTTGAGATGGCAAACACACTGCGGATTCTTTGTATTATAACTAAATTATGAATCTGGAATTTCACCTCCTCAGCAAGATAAGCTTTTCTATTTCATATAAGACCATATGTAAGAATTAGGAAGATTAGGAAGGAGAAAAAGACATCTGAGCATGTGGATAGTACTGGTTTGGGAAATTTAGCTGAAATATTAAAAAAAAAACTTTCTGAACAAGATTGGTAGAAACCTAATTTCACTTCTCCCTTGAGTTTCTTGGGTTCTGGCCATTTCTGACAATTGAAAGCTCTGGGTGGGAGCTCTCTGCCCATCTGGGAGCCCACTAAAAAGAAGGAAATCAAATACACATAACTATATTTATTTCCTTTATGGCAACCACTAAAATCACTGAATAAACAAAAAAGTGTTGCTCAATAAAATGTTAATTTGAAAATGCCACTGTAGTTAAGTCCAAAGTCATTTTTCACCCTTACATTCTATCCTGTATCCAATTTGTCATTAATTCCAGGGGTTTTTTTTCTTTAAAATGTCTTTCAAATTTTTTGTTGTTAGGCCTTAGGACTCTACTCTTTTGTTAATAACAAAAACAACAATAATAATTAATTTTAGCATGACTTCCTGCCTGAGTCCATACACTTTTCCAGGTAAATATTTGCAGATTAAGGCTCAAGTTCAGCTACCTAAGATAGTGTCCCAGTTATTGATGAGAACATCAAGTACAAACTAACTTTATATTTAAGATGTATCACTTGTGAGAAGTAAATAGTTGTGTCTTGCTTTTTATCAAACCTGATAACTTCTTTTAATTGGATTCTATATCTCATTTTAATATTAATATAGATGCATTAAGTCTAAGATTTGTATATGTTTTGTATTTGGCGCCTCTTTTTTCATTAGTCTGTTTCTCCTTTCCTATGCTACAGATTGGCATATTAAAGTAAACCCTCTTTGGGGCCACAAACCAAAAATAAATTATGGTTGCTAATGGAGCCATCCTGGTTACTTGTGCAGAAGTCTATGGTAAGAATCCATTCTCTGATGAGACTGACTGATTGAGCTTATACTGCTCAGCTTGCCATTATTGCTGTCTGTATTCATGATCATACCAGAAAAAGCAGTACATCTACCATCACGGGCAAGGTACAAAATAAAGGGCTCTGTATTTCTGATGCTGATGTTACCATTACTAACACTTGCGCAACTTGTGATACATGCCAAAAGCTGACCTATTTGTCTTGTGATAAGGAAGATCACCTTGTACAGAGTTCCTTCTCACCCACTCTTGCAGACTGACTAGATTGCACCTTTGCACCCCCTCCAGGCTAACAGCAGTGATTTATCACTCTTTACACTTTCTCTCAGTATGGGTATTTTTGTTCCTTAAAGATCAGCTGTATTTGGCCAGAGTTGTGGCCCTTCAAACTGTCTGTGTATTTGGCCTTCCAGATCATTTTCAGCCTGATTAGCACTTTTGATCATACATGTTACTTAGTAATGAGTTGATTATCAAGGTATTTGATAGAATTTCCACACACCCTTTTATCTACAGGCATCTAATATTATCGGGCATGCATTGCATCTGCCTTCTCAAAAATTGATTCAAACCATTTCTGACTCTGTGTTTTTCATGTTCTTTTGGCTCACACACAATAGCAAGGAAATTTGGTCACCGAGTACAGCTGCCCCCCCAGAAGGGGTCATCTCCTTGTAGCTGCTTTTAGGTTGATAATTAGGACCAAAGATGTGAGAGGTTATTTAAACCTATTTTGAAAATTCAAGATTCATCCTTCATCATTCCTGAGTGATCAAGGGATCAAGCATCTTACTTTCCCCTAATAATAACCACAGGTGATCTTGGTAGGTATGCCCCTTCGATGTCCAAAAGGGAGCCTAAAAATACTTAATTCTGGTTTAGCAACTTGGGTTCTTTTGTTTGATGGATCTGATCCTGGATCATAAGAAACTGATCTCTTGGTTGACCACATTGTTCGTTGAGTCCTCCTGCAGTGGCCCACTTCTACAAAATTGAACATAATAGATTTCTACAAATGTTATAAAAGTGACCTTGTTTCTCTCATACCTGATCTGTCTAGATGAGAAATTGAATTGTGAGCAGGAGATAATTATTTTAAAAAATGTTACTGTTACTACATTGGAATGAGGCACATCTATTTTATGGTGGCAGAGAACAACATCCTGTCACCTTGGAGACAAACACTTCAGATATGGAAAGGAAGAGGAGAAAGAGGTATGTTAATCATCTTTGCTTTCCAGAATCAACTCTGGAGACTTCCTTCAGAAAAAAGAAGGTCCTGATTTTCTCTACCAAAATAATATGAGAAGCTTTACTTCAGCTGACTGCTCAGTCTACCAAACCTTACAGGTATCTGTGAACACAATTTGATCAACATCTTCTGTAACCTTACTGAGAAAATAAGTAAAAACATATCTTTTGTATCTTTCATGTGAAACAGCCATCAACACATCTGGAGGTCTTCCCCACCCTCATTCACGTAGGCCTTGCTCAGTCCCTTTAGGCAGACTAATTCTGCCAAACCAGTGGCATAGATAAATGGGAGAGGTCAGACTGACTGCCCGCAAGCAGGTCCTCCAGAACAAGCATTTGACTCAATCATTTTAACTGAACTGAGCACTCAAAGGTCTAATGGCCAGACAGGTGATGCTGAAATCCTATCAACCTGTGGATCCTGACCCATGTAGGAGCCACGTTGAGGACACCAAAAATTGTAACTAATACTTTATTTCCTAAGATTCTATGTATATTTGCTTCTTATGTGTAAGGCAGGCACAAACTGACTTCATCCTAAAAACATACTGACTTGACCTTAAAAGACTTTCAAGAATTTAAGAAAACAAGTACATCATGTAGCTCTCATATGACTATAGAAATCTCTTCAAAATTTGGTCACCCGTAGTTACTCAGGGAAGATTCCTGGAGGGATCTGTGAGATAAATGACTCATTATTTTAGCACACCCTGTGAGCACTTAGTTTTACAATGGAAAGCAGCCAACTAGAAATTTGTCCTTACCTTTGTTGAAATGAATAAACATACCACTTCAGCTCTAGAATGCTTTCAGATCAGCCATAACTCAAAGGCCAGAATTGCCCCAGACCTCCTCCTTTTGGATTTAAGCAGAATCTGTGTATTCACTGATACATCTTATTGTACCTCAATTAAAGTTTTAGACCAAGTGGAAAGGGAGATGCAGAAATTTATAAAGAAAATTATTTCAATTTCTTAGGTAGACCCTGATGGCTTAAAGGAATTTATTTAGCTGAATTGGGTCCAGCTGGGAAGAATGGTCAATACTGCAGATTGGCCTCCTCCTGCTACTTGTAGCTCTGGAGATCGAAGTCTTAATTAAATAATATGGGAAACAAAGTTATGGATTTAGTCCTAGCCTACCTTATTTAAATCAATGAGACTAGCCAACACAGTAGCATACTCATGGGAAAATTCACCAGCAGTCAAGACAGAGTAGTAAAATAAGAAGCAGATACTGTTGCGACAGAATTCACCAGGGCTAGCTCATAATTTTCATGTCTTATAAGGAAGGCAGTTACTGTACTTTATTCTGAACTATCTTTTAAAAGATTTTTGTATAGAGAATAGCCTTGGAAGACAGAGATAGAGTTTTCCTCCAGAGCAAATAGCAAACATGCATTCTGTCAAATACAATGATGATAACATCTCTTTCCAGACCAAAGGGCTGGCATGCTTATTACCCATCATGAAATATGATAGTTCCAAGCACAGAATTCCTTTCTGTATTACAGACCACAGCATGTGCTAATGCTTTCTGGCTGAATAGTCCTGTGGAAATTAGGAATTGGAGACAGAGTGTGAAAATTGCCAATACCCTTGCTATTGCCATTATTATTTGTAATTAACTATATTTTCTGAACCAGGAAGCTCATATAATTTACCAGAATCCATGAAACTGTGGCAGGCTAACCTGTTAACTTCCCAATAGAGTAAAATCTCAGCGCCTTCAAAGTTGCTGACAATATAACAAGGTGAAACACCACACATAAACTGTGATCACAGTTTCTGATACAATAAATGACTTCAATATTGGAAGTTGTTTGGTATCATTTCCCTCACATATTACAACACTCAGTACAGAGTCAAAGTGCAATACAGAGTAACAGAGGGAATGGTCAAACTTTCAATAAGATATCAAAGGAAAATAATTTGCTTGCCATACTGTCACAAAATGATTTCGAAATATTTGGTGGTCAAAATGAAATAAATAGATAGTTCTAGAATCTTTTTAGGGCAATACAGAGCATCAGTTTTCACAAGTTGAATAGATTTTGTTCTTAATTTTCTATCCAGTAGATGTCAGCAGTTTTCTCTATTTCTTTATAAAGTTAATTCTTTCCTAACTTCAGAGATTCTCATTACAATTAGATTTTTATCATTATGCAAAAATTTTGGTAATATAATAATCAATGTCAGCTAAAGATGGTATTTTGAAACAATGACAAAAGGCCAATTCTCAGCTTTATGTGTCTTGATGCATCAGCCAGACACTTGAAAAAGCTCGTTTATGGAGGATGTACCTGTCATATAATGAAAAGATATCACGAATTTAAATCCTGAGTAATATTTTAGTACTTATTAAACCCATAATGTTCTCTTATTTTTATGGAAAAGGAGGGAAGGGTTAAGTTTCTATTAGATTATATTATTACACAAAATGTCTTATGCCCTTTCCTGTGGAAAGGTTATAGCGAGAACTCAAAAAGTTTGTAGAAAATGGAATTAAATGATAAAAATAAAAATATACATTTTATTTCTCAACATAAGCTCCTCTGAGTTCAAGACGCTTTTGTAAGTGATAATGCCAGCCATTCAATCCATCTCTAAAGAACCGAGGAGTCAGAATTTAGCTATGTCAATGCAGTCTTTTTTACATTACTAACTTAAAAAAAAAAAAAGTGTGCCTTTTAAAGATTTGTTTAAGGTTAGGAAACAAAAAGAAGTCAGAAAGAGCCATGTGAGGAATGTAAAAAGGTGGATGACTAATGGTTTCCTACTTATATTCTAATAAAATTGCCTTTGTTTAATGAGACGTATGAGCAGGACCATTGTCATAGTGGTGAAGAACTCTCTGCTGAAAATTTCTGGGTGTTTTCCTGCTAACACTTTGGCTAACTTTCTTAAAACCCTCTTGTAATAAGCAAATGTTATCAGTTTTTGGCCCTCCACAAAGGCAACAAGCCAATTGTGTTTAGCATCCCCCAAAATTGTTGCCATTACTTTTGCTCTTGACCATTTCACTTTTGCTTTAATTGGACCACTTCCATCTCTTGGTAGCCATTGTTTTAATTTTGTTTTGCCTTCAAGATGTACTGGTAAAGCCATGTTTCATCTCCTGATACAATTCTTCAAATAAATTCTTTAAGATTTTGATCCCTCTTGTGTAAAATCTCCATTGAAAGTTCTGCTCATATCTGCAGCTGACCTGGGTGCCATGGCTTTGGCACCCATTGAGTAGAATATTTGCTCAACTTTAATTTTTCAGTCAGAATTTTGTAAGCTGAACCAATAAAGATGTCTATGATGTTGGCTATTGTGGGTGCTATTAATCATTGGTCTTTTTCAATTAGGGCATTGCGATGGTCAATATTGAGTGTCAACTTGTTCAGATTGAAGGATGTAAAGTATTGTTCCTGGGTATGTCTGTGAGAGTGTCACCAAAGGAGATTAACATTTGAGTCAGTGGACTGGGAGAGGCAAAACCACCCTCAATCTGGGTGGGCATCATCTAATCAGCTACCAGTGCAGCTAGAATAAAGCAGGCAGAAGACATTGGAAGAACTTGATTAGCTGAGTTTTCCAGGTTTCATCTTTCTCCCATGCTGATGCTTCCTGCCTTCAAAAAAGTTGAAGAACTCCCAGTCCTTCAACTTTTGAACTCTTGGACTTACACCAGTGATTTGCTAGGGGCTCTAAGGTCTTTGGCCATGGACTGAAGCCTGTACTGTTGGCTTCCCTATTTTGAGGTTTTAGTACTCAAACTGTCTTCCTTGCTCCTCAGCTTGCAGTTTTGGCCTATTGTGGGACTTCACCTTGTGATCATGTGAGTCAATACTCCTTAATAAGCTCCCCTTCATAATTACATCTATCCTATTAGTTCCCTCCAGAGAATCCTGGTTAATACAGGCATGAACAAGATTAATTTTTCCTCACAAACCGATGTGGATAATATGCTGCTGTGGGCTCCATCTTCAACATTGTCTGATTACTGTTTAAAATGAGCTGTTCATTTGTAAATTGCTAATATCTGTAGGCCATTGTCCCCATAAACTTTTTGAAAAGCATAAATGATTTTACCGTTCTTTCATCCAAGCTTCACCATTAATTGAAGGTTTTGTATAAATTTTAGTAGAATTAATGTTGCTCTGATAAAGACTGTTCAAACTGATGTTTTATCCTTCTTAGTGCCTCAAACTAGATCCTGTTCAGACATGTTATAACAAGTTAGTATGACTTTATTTTAGTGCAAAAAAACTTTGAAATTTCTGCATAGATATTTCGTAATATGCATTTTCATGAACTTTTAAAATATTTGACATACGCTTCAATCTATTTATTGATGTCAGGTTTTTAAATGTGAGCAGGAATGATGTGTCTCATTAATGAGTAGAAGTTTTTGGATCCATCATGTCCTTTATTGTTTGCTTTTTCCTCTACTGTGAGACTGAAAATATCCCATACAGGGGTTGTTCATCATGTTTCCTAGAATGAGAACAATGAGTTGCATAATTTAACCCATGATGGATATGTAACGAGAAAAAACTTGACTGAAGTTGAAGACACTGAGATTTGGGGGTTATTAGATAACGCAACAGATTTAGCCTGAGCTATCTGATAAAGGGGCAATAGAAAAGAATATTTATTACCCTAAGAAGGTTGATAAATCGGTAATATGTAAGAGCATCTTGCTAATTCTAAAGCACAATTTCATACATTTAAAGAAGAATATGGCAAGGCATGGTGGCTCATGCCTATAATCCCAGCACTTTGGGAGGGCAAGGTAGGTGGATCACCTGAGGTCAGGAGTTTGAGACCAGTCTGGCCAACATGGTGAAACCCCATCTCTACTAAAAATACAAAAATTAGCCAGATGTGGTGGCATACACCTGTAGTCCTAGCTACTTGGGAGGCTGAGGCAAGAGAATTGCTTGAACCTGGGAGGTGCAGGTTACAGTATGCTGAGATCACACCACTGCGCCCCAGCCTGGGCAACAAAGTGAGACTCTGCCAAAAAAGAAAAAGAAAAGAAAGAAAGACAGAAAGAGAAAGAAAGAAAGAGAGAGAGAGAGAGAGAGAGAAAAGAAAGAACAAGAAAGAAAGAAACAACAAGAGAGAGAAAGAAAAAGAAAGAAAGAAAGAAAGAAAGAAAGAAAGAAAGAAAGAAAGAAAGAAAGAAAGAAAGAAAGAAAGAAAAAGAAAGAAAGAAAAGAGAAAGAAAGAGAAAGAAAGGAGGGAAGGAATGAAGGAAGGAAGGAAGGAAGGAAGGAGGGAGGGAGGGACAGAGGGAGGGAGGAAGGAAAGAAGGAAGGAAGGAAAATAAGACTTCTGAACATAGAAAGCTGTTAACTTTTCCTCGTATTTATTTTCTTTTTTAAAGATCATCTATTCCATGGCCTCTGTTGGTGTCTCATAATATTGACCACTAAATTCTACTCTACTTTTCTAATTTACTATCCTTCAGCAAAGATTCACTGAACATCCATTATGTTCAGCCTTGTTTCCACATTTCTGTCTTTATTCCTTCATTATGTCTTATACAGAAAACTTCTTTTAGATTTGTAACTATTTATGAAGCAACCTCTATATATCAGGTTCTGCCTTCATGTTATTATTAATATATTTAATAATAAATCATATGTTATGCATAAATTTTCTTTACAAATAATTCAAGCTTCACAGAGATTAAGAAAATTGAAGACAATTGCACAACTGATAAAAGAGCAAAACCAAGATTTGAATTGAGCTGGCTTAGTTCTAAACGCCCCCATACTTCCACCACATCATTTGCTTAGATGGCAGCATGAGAAAACTACAGAGTTTATCAAATCAAATTTCTCCATGAAACCCAAAATATATGTAATAAAAATTAACCATATGAAAAACCGATAAATTTCAATTAACATTTGTACTCCTAAACCGTATGTTGGCTCTACCTTAGTTTAATGCAATCTAAGTATCAATTTCAAAGTGCTTGACAATAATTAAGGTGGAAGAAGTTTTTGGACAAATCCAGGTACTTGAGATAAATATTAATCAATTGCCCTAAAAACTTCGCTTTTAACTTAATTTTACATGGCCATTATAACTCTTTTGGGGCTGAAATGGGTTTATTTAAGATAAGCCTAGAATTGATTATTGGTTTAACAATATAAGATTATAAGAGAAACAAATTAATTTCAAAAGCATTATATTGAAGAAAAGAAGCCATAAACAAAAGATTGTATACTATATAAGTTCATTTTATGATGTTCTAGGGTGGTTCTGCATATAAGATCTATTAATGTAATAGATCATGTCAATAGGAAAGAAAAAGCATAAACAAAATCCACATGATCATTTCAACAGATGCCGAAATAGAATCTGACAAAATCCCATCTCCTTTCATGATAAAACATACAGCAAAATAGGAATAGAAGGAAGCGTCCTCAACTTGATAAAGGGCATCTATGAAAAACCTATAGCTAACATCATGCTGATTGGTGAAAGACTAGATTTTTTCCCCCTTCAGCAAAGACTCAGGATACAAAATCAATGTGCAAAAGTCACAAGCATTCCTATACACCAAAAACAGATAAACGGAGAGCCAAATCATGAGCAAACTCCCATTCACAATTGCTGTAAAGAGAATCAAATACCTACAAATACAACTAACAAGGGATGTGAAGGACCTCTTCAAGGAGAACTACAAACCACTGCTCAAGGAAATAAGACAGGACACAAACAGATGGGAAAACATTCCATGTTCATGGTTAGGAAAAATCAATATTGTAAAAAGGCCATATTGCCCAAAGTAATTTATAGATTCACTGCGGTCCCCATCAAGCTACCATGACTTTCTTCACAGAATTGGAAAAAAACAAAAAAAACAAAAAAACACCTTAAACTTCATATGGAACCAAAAAAGAGCCCGTATAGCCAAGACAAACCTAAGCAAAGCAAACAAACAAAAAAGATGGAGGCATGATGCTACCTGACTTCAAACTGTGCTACAAGACTGCAGTAGCCAAAACAGCATGGAACTGATACCAAAACAGAGATATAGACCAAAGAAACAGAACAGAGGCCTCAGAAATAATGCCACATATCTACAGTCAACTGATCTTTGACAAACCTGACAAAAACAAGCAATGGTGAAAGGATTCCTTATTTAATAAATGGTATTGGGAATACTGGCTAGCCACATGCAAAAAGCTGAAATTGGATCCCTTCCTTACACCTTATACAAAAATTAACTCCAGATGGATTAAAGATTTAAATGTAAGACCTAACACCACACAAACCCTAGAAGAAAACTTAGGCAATATCATTTTGAACACAGACATGGGCAAGGACTTCATGACTAAAACACCAAAAGCAATGGCAACAAAAGCCAAAATAGACTAATGAGATCTAATTACAACTAAAGAGCTTCTGCACAGCAAAAGAAACCATTGTTAGAGTGAACTGGAAACCAACAAAATGGGAAAAAATTTTGCAATCTACCCATCTGACAAAGGGCTAATATCCAGAATCTACAAAGAACCTAAACAAATTTACAAGAAAAAAACCAGGCCATCAAAAGGTGGGCAAAGGATATGAACAGACATTTCTCAAAAGAAGCTATTTATGCAGCCAACAAACATATTTTAAAAAGCTCACCATCACTGGTCATTAGAGAAATGCAAATCAAACCACAATGAGATACCATCTCACACCAGTTAGAATGGAGATCATTAAAAATTCTGGAGACAGCAGATGCTGGAGAGGATGTGGAGAAATAGGAATGCTTTTACACTGTTGGTGGTAGCGTAAATTAGTTCAACCATTGTGGAGGACAGTGTGGCAATTCCTCAAGGATCTAAAACTAGAAATACCATTTGACTCAGCCATCCCATTACTGGGTATACACCCAAAGGATTATAAATCATTCTATTTTAAAGACACATGCACATGTATGTTTACTGAGACGTTGTTTACAATAACAAAGACTTGAAACCAACTCAAATGCCCATCAATGGTAGACTGAATATACACTGCCATGGGTGCAAATGCACAACTGGACCCCAGCAGCCCCAACCTTTCTCCCCTGCCATGTAATCACTGCAGTCATTGCCAACACCTACATGGAACCCAGTAGCCCTGGGCCTGCCAGAAAACCACCTGAGCTGACAAGCCTGCAGCCCACCATGCTGTCACTGCTTCTGGCACATTGAAACAAGCATCAATCCCACTGCTACCACATAATGAAGCACTTTGGCTGGCACCACCTTTTGAAGTGCTGTGACCAGCAGACCAGGAATAACTCCAACACAGCACATACCCAACCTCGAGAGGCCAGAGAACAAAGCCAGGGGCCTGACACCAGCCCCTAGAATTAGTGCATGTAGCCTAGGCATGCTTAGCTGAGCCTTGCCCCTCCAAAAGTCTACCAGAAATGAAGCCAAATGGCTGAACCCACCTTACACCACAATCAAACCCCGGGGACATCAAAGAAGAAAAAAGAAACACAAACCCATTCAAAGGACAGCAACTTCAAAGGTGGAAGAAACATCAGCCTACATAGATTAGAAAGAACTAGGACAAGAACTCTGGCAACTAAAGAAGCCAGAGAGTCTCCTTACTTCCAAACAACCACACACTAGTTCCCCAGCAATGGTTCTTAAGCAGGCTGAAATGGCTGAAAGGACAGACATAGAGTTCAGAATATGGTTAGAAACAAAGATCATAGACATTTAGGAGAAAGTTGAAACCCAATCCAAAAATTCTAAGGAATACAACAAAACAGTACAAGAGATTAAAGATGAT